TTTGTTGCTGTGCTTTTGAACTTGTATAGAGCTGAAGGATTCTCTTCAATGGTCTGGAAGGAGATAGTGGGGCTCCTACTATCTCTGTTTAGAAATGCAGCAGGAAGGAATTGCAGCTATTTATATATCTGAAACAGCCGGGATTTCTCACAATCACTTTGAAGCACATTGAAAAACATGTAGCAGTTCTTGGGGAAGCATCCTGATGTTTCCATTGTGTTGACAGAAAAGATGTTTTGATGCTCATTTTGGCACCCTCAAAAAGAGGGAGACGCTGTAGCAAAGATGCATATAGGGTCTAAATCAAGCAGCTGAATGGATGAGTATTCTTTAGGGCTTCCAGTATTCCCGGTTGGGCTGGGAAAGACACTTGGTGGAAAGCCTGAGCATCACTCTCAGTGCTGACAGTACTGAACGAGATTTGCCTCAGTATAAGACAGCGTTCTACTTGGCCTTTGCCCGGATGTCCTGCAGGCAGCTCACAGATGCCAATCATGGTGGTTCCTCTTCAGACATCCACCCACTTCATATGTGCATGCAGACAAGTTCCTCCTTCCTTTCCGTTTGGCTTGAAAAATCAGTTTAGGTTTTTGTCCCCCTGCTAAAATACACTCTTGATTCCATTGGTGTCTCAACTGTTTTATCTGAATGACACATTCAGGGCAGGAATTTGAGGAACAGTGAAGAGAATGCGATTGGGAGGATTTTGTTTCAGAGTGTGTCAAATGAACTTCCTCTTCCTGGTATCAAATGTGCATGTTATTAGAGGAGCATTTCCAGAAATAGTTCCTTTTGATTCCCTCGCTGGTTAGAACACAAGGAAGAGAGCTTTATACTGATGTCTCTGACAGTCATTGCCTTTGAAAGTTGGGAGCCATTGGTTACAATCTTTCCAGAATATGGCGATAGGAGGAACACCTGGTGGCTTGTGGAGAAGAAATTGAAGGACATTTGCTCCACTTTGGAGCCACCCTTTCAGGTGACCAGAGCCAGGAGATGCATGTCTGATAGCATTTTGAATCTGCTATCATCAAGCAATATCATCTGCCCATCAATGTGATTGTGTTACACTGTGGAAACCAGTTATAAGTTGGGAGTTGGGAGTGATGGTTCTGTTTTAAGAAATGTCTTGCAATGTCTTGCTAGCTGATCTTATAGCACAAGGACTGGGCTTGCTTCTGCCTCAGAATCTGGTTCAGAACTGGAAGAAGAGACAGGGTCAAAATTCTGAACTGAAATTCCAAGGCCAGCATGGCCCAAGATAAAACCAAGAGATTTACAAGAACTAGATCACATCTCATTGGAGAAAGTACTGTTGAACAAGCAGAGCCCGAGGGGGTTGGATGTAGCATGATCAGTCCCATAGTCTATTGCTGGATCAAAAGAGCAGAGAAGTTAAATAGCATCCGGCAGTCCTGTTGGCTGGACCACAAGCAGCAGGAATCACTCTGAGGGTGGAGCTAACCATTAGTCAGAGTGGGAGGAGAGCAATTCAGTTTGGAATCAACTTCATAACATGAGCTGGCTTTCTAACTTCATTGGTGTCTTCTGTTAATGACTTCTGCAATATTCCTTTGTATTGCAAAGCCAACCTTTGTAATCAACTTTAACATAATTGATTTCTTTTATATTGTTATTTATTTTATATTGTTATTTTTATATTATTTTTGTATTTTATTTTATGTTGTGAGCCGCCCCGAGGCTTCGGCGAATGGGGCGGCATAGAAATGTTTTAATAAATAAATAAAATAAAATAAAATAAAATAAAATAAAATAAAGGCAGTAGTTAGAAGCCTCTTGATCTGCTTGGAAGAAGAGTGGGAAACATGGTCTCTGACCTGTTATGTGGCAATGACTGAGTTCACACAACTTGACAACCATTCATAGGTTGCTTCCCGCACTAGGTCTTTGGATTGTATGAGCCAAGATGGCTTGTCTATGCATAACAACTCATGAGTTTTCATATGGATTGATGAAACTATGTTGGATTGTCTTGACCGCTGAACTCGGCAAGCAACCCCATTGTGCTTACAGGGAATTGGCTACTTGAACCTTTGCCAAGAGCAGCTAAAGCCCCTTGCCAAGCAGCTCCCAGGCTGACACGAGCGTCAGCCCAAGTGCCCAAGCAGCATTGGGAGCAGGTGGCACTGGCTTCCCTCCCTCCCCACCATGACTGCAAGCCATTTGGGGCCTGCTGCAACTTTCCCCTGCCCCTTTAGCCCTTTTTTCTTCAGATTATTAAGCTGTCAGATATGATCAAAGGAAAAAATTAACTTACCTGCTTTTCTATGGTATAGTGCCTTGGGTGGATTCCTGCTGGATTTTGCCAATAAAAAGCCTTCTAAGAATTGCTCACCCAGTGCTCCCTCTTCCTGCACCCATGCAGCTATGAATGCCTGCAGTTAAGGAAGTGAGGGTAGCATAAAAAAACAACAACAACGTGTCTGTAACAAAGAGGACTGCAAAAAGAAGAAAAGTTTTAAGGGGAAAAACGCTGTAACGAGGCCCAAATGGCTTGTGGTATTGTACCATATTGAAATGGTGATACTGGACTGTGCACCATTTTATATCTTGTGGAAAAGGACCGTTGCTCAATGGCAGACTACATTCTTTGCGTGCAGAGGGTCTTAACTTCACTCCTGAAAGCTGCCTCCCTGCTTTTATTCCTATAATTAGATTGCACAAGTGGCTTTTGTGGTTGAGTTGGGTTCTGTGTCCTGCTAGGGTACCAAAAGGGTAGCAATATTCCATCAACAATATTATTGTATATAGTGGTGTGTGCGCACACAGGTATACATATAAACAAACTCCATTTTCTCCATGTTTTAACATAGTTTCATAAATAATACATCATTATCAGCTGGCAAAGGCCAAAGTGATTCATTCTCAAACCATATAGTAGGAAGTTTAAAAGTACCACAGGCCCCAAGAGAAGCACCTACTTAATTTATGCTCAAATTCTTTTTCTTTTATCCAGTAGTATATTCCAAAGGACTTCAAGATCAGTGTTCCTGAATGGTATTTGGAATGGATGTCTTGCTCAAAACATGATGCGCAGTGAGAAAGGAATTAATAGCCAGAGTTCCTGCTTTTCATTTACAGTTTGATCCTATCTGTAGAGTTCCTGAACCATGTCTTTGGCTCAGTTTGTGGGTAGTACATTTGTCCATTTGTCAGATGTTTAATTTCCTTCAGCAGAAAAGAGATTGTTCTCTGTAATGGACTTAATTTTTTAAAATCTATTTGAGTTTGAACTCATCTTCCTATTAGTCTGGTTTCAAGTAGAGCACTTTGGTAATCAATATCTCTAGGAAATGATGCCTTCATTTCATTTAGGCACCAGAATAAGATGAGTTAACAAGTGATATTCCCTCCCTGCACCCCAATTTGCTTTCCAGTTAGACCTCTCCCTCTCTTTCTCTCTCTCTCGATGATTGTTCATCCAATATCATACAAATGCAGTACCACACCCTTAATTTGAATCCAGTAATTAACATTTCCTAGTTGCTTTTGACGAGTTAATTTTGTTTCTATTCCATACTTTAGCACAGCACATTACTACACATTATTCCTGTTAACCATGGCATCCTAGTAACAAGTAGTTCTTATATTTGTATCCCACCTTTACCCTCTACTTGGTGGGGAAAAGTTTATGCATACGTCAAGGGTGAACAACTTGTGGATTTCCAGTTTTAACCCATGATTCCTCTCCGTTCACTCTGCTGGCTCGGGTGAGGGGAGTTGTAGGCCAAACGATCTGAGGGCCTAAAGATGGCCATACGAGCTGCACACCAGTTCTCTGGTTGCAGTGGAAAAATGGCAGCCAAGGGTCCCAGACCCAAACTGGGTATGGAACATCTAGTTCTAATACACCTGAAAGGCTGGAAAGAGTGAGCAATTCAGCTGCTATGGTTTGATGTAATACATTTTTAAAAGTTTGGAAATTCCTGCGATGATCACTGTTTAGCTCAGTGGCAAAGTCTACATTGGCAAGTTATGATGCTGCAGTGGGATCTTTGTAAGTCAGAAAGAATACATTGACCAGTATTCTGTTGATGAAAGTTGTCTATTTTAAAATCCTAGGTGTCAGTAAGATAAACTGACCTGTCATGAGTGCATTTTTTGGCTATCATTTGACAACTCTGTTACTGAGTTCTGCCAGCCTGCAACTTGTGACTGAGCAGCAGTGAAAAGCTTCCTTTCCCATTGCTCATGGGCACAGATCTGTCTAGTGCCATTGTTTTCGGAATGGTGCTTTTATGGTAGGTTTATTAACAGAAAAAATACTGGTACTATGAATGGGCATTGGGCATAATCCATCCTAAACAGGATCATGTATTTCATTGGGGACAGGAGAGAATTAAGATCATCCTTCATTTTTTCCCCTTGAAATCGGTTTTATTTCAGTATTCAATCTAGCTGGGCTGTGCCTACTGACATTTGTTTTGGTAACTGATATATTAATTGGAGATGGGTGAGCTGAAACTCATCCCACATTGTGGAGTGATTTTAGTAATCTAGGAGCACATTTCATACTGTACATAATTTACCCATGAGCCACCCTGCTGGCTCATTCTTTCATTGCCTGGCTTGGAACATCCCTAAATTTCAGGTTTTTATCTTTTGTGCTTTACTATAACAAAAATGTGTGGGGTAACAAAGTCACCCCAGAAGTGTCACAGGAACAGCTGGACAGGTTAACTTTGTGACCCAATCAAAGGTCCCAAGAAAAGATGCAAAACAAGGTTCAATCTAGATCATTTTGTTTCATTGTAAAGCTAAGATGCTGAGCTAAAACCTCCATCAATCAGAATGAAAATCCATTGAGGAAAAACTATGCTATGATCTTTTTAAGTTAGTAGGCTATACCCTTTTTTATGCAGAGAAAAGTCAATGGGCCTGCTATTGTTAAATACAGATTTTCCTCTGTTTGCATAGCCTCCGGAAGAATTAATACATAAATTACTTGAACTTGCTGATAGCTGAAAGCCTTTCCTATGCCTATTGCAACCCCTTGAGGGAGAAATGCAGCCAGAGCAAAGACTTTTAGGTTTGCATTTTCATGGTCTCAAGCACGTTCTCTTGGGGTCATAAAGTCACCCCATAGGTAACACCTGTTGGGAATATTTTCCTTTGAGACAGGATAGAGGCTAATCATTTACATAAAAGCTGTCCTATGGAACCAGTGTGGGATAGTGATAAGAGTACTGGAATAGGACTGCAAAGATCTGCGTTCTACTTCCCCACTCAGCCATGAAGCTCACTAGGAAATTTTGGCCCAGTGATGCCATTTCAGCCTGACCTACTTTAGTGGGATGTTGTGAGGGTAAAATAGGGAAGAGAAGGGGGATTAAGTAAGCCACTTTGTATTGCTCACATGAGGGAAAACGGCAGACTATAAATATAGAAGAAGGGTCTTCTTGGTGGTTGCACCGCAACTGTGGAACAGGTTCCTCAGAGAGGAATTGCTGTTGTCATTTTGGTGCCAGGCAAAGACATATCTCTTCTTTGGCTATTTTAATAGTTGATTTTAGTGGTAGTTTGACCCTATTTCTGTTTTACAGTTGATTTTAGTTTAAATTGTTTTATTCTAAGTTTATGTCATATTTTAATTTTGACGTATTATTATATTTTTACATTTTGAATATGCAGTTAATATGATTTGAACATGTTCAGTGCTACTGATTTTAGAATGTTCTGCCATTTTAATTGTGGTAAGCTGCCCAGGGAGTGCAGGTAAGGGCTATTTTAGTGGTATACAAATTAAAAATATAACATAATAGGTCTGAAGGAAGACAGTGGTGTAACTGGTTTGTGAATTTTTCCTTTGGAGCATGTCACTGAAGAAATGAGCTTATTAGCTGAACATGGTGAATGAAGTTGTATCCTCGAACCTTTGACAGAACAGTCTTATCAGTAGTGGACAAACCTGAAGCTGGAGGAATTAAAGACTCATTGGGCTTGAATTAGCAGAGAGGGAGGCAAAATAACATTTTCCCCTCGACCACTTCACCTTTATAATTTGCTTTCCATTGGATGGGATGGGAGGGAAGTTCTGTATTTCCGCTTGAGGGGATGTGAGTAGGCAAGGTTGTAATGACCATGGAAAGGTTGTAATGACCATGGAATCTCTGCATCTGAGGCTTCTCAGGACATGTCTACAAAATTACTATTCTGTCACATTTATATACCTCCTTTCTTCTTCTTACAAGGAATCCAAAGTAGCTTAGAAAGTTCTCCATTTTATACTTACAACAACCACCCTGTGTGGTGGGCTAGGCTGACAGTCTGCGACTAGCCCAGAGTCACCCAGTGAGCTTCATGGTTGAGTACAGCTAGAGCTTGGATCTTCCCAGTCCCAGTCCAGTATTCTTAACCCCAACGCCCCACTGGCTTTTCCCCTCAGCCACGTGGCTACCCCTTCCAGCTCTCTGTGATGACTGGGAGGAGCTTTGTCTAGTCAGTTTTCCCCCTCTGAGGTTGGAACTTGTCCTCCACCCTCAGAGGTGGAGATCCAAAACATCTGAGAGACCCTTGGATGTGTTCCCAAAGGCCCATAGGATCCCAGCCTAAGTAAAAGTTGTAGGACATGTGTTTTAAAAAATTAGTAGGCACAATACATAAAGAAGTTAATGGTTTCTATATTGGAGGGCTTATCCAGGTTCCATGCTGATATGCCCCTAAGTGTTTCGAATTGCTACTATCTTAAATATTAATAGCAAATCTTGTGCTTCACTATATGAGCCTTTTGATCCCTCACTTTACTAAAGCCTCTGCTTCTGGATTCTTCTCGGGTGCATCCACCACCCCATCCCCAGTGTTTGTCTTTCTCTGCCTTTTTATGTGTTTCATTGCACACCCACCAGGTGGTGCTGCAGCATAATGGAATTGCAATAATATGCAAGGGTCTCTTTCTGGTTCTTTCCACCCTTTCCAAATCCAGTTCTACTGATCTAAAGGGGACAGAGGAGCAATTAAATGGTTGCAAAGAAGTGGAGTGGCCCTGGAGGATGAGGACATTGTGTAAGGCACAAGCAATCTTCAGGGATTGGAGAATCTTGAGTGCACAATGAATGAGCTTTGTAGAGAAGACCTTATTCTTCAAGTTAGGTCAAAATGACTACTGAAGGAAAGGTTATCAGCTGGGAATGCCAAGGCTTGCAAAAGTTGAAAAAAAGTTACAGAAAAAACTCTAAAGGAGCACACACTAAGAGAGAGAGAGGCCCAGCAAGAATTGAGCTCAGTAGCCACAAAACAAAACAGACTGGTTATAGGATGAATAGGTGGGTGGGTACTGGAATGAGGCATTCTGCAAAAGGGCATGGTTGGATGGAACCCTGAACAAGAGCAATCCATTCACTCCACACTGCAACATTTTGTTGCAGGCAGGCTAGATGTGTGCCTGTTGAACTTGACAAAATGACAGAAGTACTTCGTTAAAGTAATGAACTCATTCTGATGGGAAAATAACTGCAATAGACTAAACTCTCATATTCTGGCAACCTAAGAATATTATTTCCTCGAAGATACTGGTGTGTATATGTTGCAGCTCCCTTCGCTATGAATGCCAGCACAGATGCTGCCTCCGGCAAGCATTCTAAATACCACAACCTTAAGAAAAATAAACTGAATATATAAGGGAGCAGTCCAACAGACCCCAGTCGTGATCATCTTTGGATTACCAGATCTGAAGTTGGAAACTGTGCTTCAGCCTGGGAGCTGGGAACCACCCCACCTCACAGCTTTGCATGCTGGCTTCCTCCCTGAGGTTGGGAACTTCACCTTGGAGGGGGGAAGGGGCATTCTGGGGTGCAGGAAGGGGAAGAGAGTGCAGGGGCCTGGGTATGACATATCCTGTGTGCTTGGCAGCCACCTATGTGGAAGAAAACAGCACTCTGCTGTCACCTCTGCTGCTCCTCCCACTCTGCATTGGATGCCTTTAAGTTCCCAAGGTTGGGGGTCCTATCAGGCATACTGAGTGGATTGCGCCCTGAGAGGAGCTAAAAATGCAGTCTATGGACACAGGCAAGTATGTGGAAGGAAAGGAAAACTAGGCTTGCTTTACCAATTATTAATATCTCCCCTTCTCTTTTTAACAATGTTAGTCACTGGGCTAACAAAGGAACCACTCAGGAAGAAAATCCATGATTTTTGTTGGGTTGTACAGTCTGGGTTGTTCATAGTTAATGATCCATAGTTATAGGATTTGCACATAGCAATAATCCATAATTCAACAACAGCTCATAGTCAAGCCTTACTCCTTATCTACTCTGTTACTGTTCTCTGCAAAGCAAGTCAAAGGCTATGATCTGGTAAAGTTGTTGAACCAAAGTGTGTGTTTCCATTGCTGGCTATTACTAAGAGGTGTTGGGAACCCTTTGTGCTCTTGAAATTCTGTCACTGTTGGCATTTGGAGCCCCTGAGTGACGCATGGTGCATTTAATTGCACCAATATATTTTCATGCAAAACCAGATGTTTTCAAACATCTAATGATCCTTCTTCTCATGTACTTTGATTGATTTAGGGAGTGTGTTTTATTAATGATTCTGTGCAGATTTTAATATTTTTCTTCTCTGTTGGTGAATTATGCATAATATTACACCAGAGAGTGACAATTTAAATAATAAAAACTAATTGAAGAATGATGGTGATATGATTTAGAATTTCCCTGCATCTCCTCTCCTGCAATATGCAGTACTTAAGACATCTGTTGATTTGGGACTCTTGTTCCCTGCTGCAGGTTGTGATTAATACTATTAAAATTCACTAGGGAAATAAGTACCAGGGCAAAAGAGATCTAGCAATCAAAACCAGGTTCTCCAAAACAAGCTATGGTATCCTAATACTTGCCTTCAGACTCAACAGGCGTCTTTGAGTTGATTGGTTCTGTGTCAGCTTCCTTGCTTACTCTATTTAAAAAATAAGCTAATATTTTTAACTTTTGGAAGGTTAACAGCCTTCGGGAGATAGTTTTAAAAATCCTTTCCCTCCACTTAATTGGAATTAGCTGTTTGTAATATTACCCCCTCGGCATTTATTTATTTATTATAAATAAATAAATAAATAAATAAAGATTAACACATGTTCTTTCATCCACTAATTCTGCTTCGCAAAACAAGACCTCGGGACCCTGCTGTATTTCACGTTGACAAGTGACATGTGATGCCAGTTGATGGATATCAAAGTCGCATCTCCTGTTTCAGTCCTTCCAAAGTCTGCCTAATCTAAGACATATATGGTCTAGGGAAACATGTGCTCATTTTTTCCTGTCATCGCAGTTCTGATTGGAGGATTTTTTAGGTCCAAAATATCTCAAGGAGTCTTTAGGATTATTGGCTGCATTTCAGGTTTACTCTTCTCTGCCCCCTCCTCCTTTCATTTCCCCCACCTTGGAGTTTTTCTCCACAAGGGATTTCCCTTGTTATGCTGAGACGGATTATGTAGCTGTTTAGATGCAAGCCTCTCTCTGCTTCTTCCGGATGGATGCGGTATTCTTGATGCCTAATGCAGAAATCAATTGGACGGGTTGCTTAGACTGCTACTCTTCATGTTGCGACGTGGGAAGTAATTTAATTTTATTAAAATGCCAGTCCGGCGGACTCGGCACGGTCATCTGAAAGGAGTGAGGTGGGCTACAATCAGCCTGAGCACAAGTTGTAAGTACAGAACTTGTATTCCTTAAGACGTTGCAAGTCATATAAGGCCCTGTCGTTGCCCTCTGACTGCATTCGAACTGCAGCGACTTGACCCTTTTGGCGCTGGGGGCAACAGGCATGTTTGTGCCGAAACAGTCTTGCTTTGCCAGTCCTCCTGAGCCCTTACAAAATAACTTGTAAAAGTTTTGTCACCATTTTAATCACAGCTTTGATTAAAAATGACATATATACAGCTAGTTTCTTTAGTAAATAATGCTTGTACAATGGCAAGCATAATAACAAACTATCTGTTTAAAATGGGGCATGACGCTGAGTGGGGGTGCCTGGAACTATTTAAAAATAACAGGTATTGGTAACGCATTACCATTGTTATAGATTTTGCTAAAGGTGTCATGTGCATCCAGTGAAAGTCACTGGCAAGTCCCCTGATGATTTTAGTGGTTGAGGGATGCAACAAAACCGAGCAGCAATAAGAAAAAGAGAAGCACACCCACACGCAAACAAATAAGAGAACCAAGGAAGACATAGGGGGAGTAACTGGAATTTGGAACTAGGTGTGATCATTTTTTATTGGTATGGGGGAAACTCTGAGTAAGACATGCTCATTTTTGTAAACACTCTTTTATGTGCAAGAGTGTTTGGAAGATTGCATGTTGCATGAAGGATGTGTCTAAGGCTACAATCCGTCTCAGCATAACTCCATGGGATTTACTTCAGAGTAAAGAGAAGTTGGATTCCACTGTCAGCTACTTTATCGTGCAGGTAGTTTGTGAGCAGTTGGCACAGCTAAAACCTAAACTTTAAAGGCCTTCTCCATAGCAGGGCTGAGAACCGTTTTCCCCTGTGCTTTTGCTTCATCACTGTTGCAAGAATAAAGTGTGGTGAACTCAGCAGTTATTTCAGACTTGCAGCCCAGTGAAGTTGAGATGGCCTCTGGCTAGTTGAGGTTAATTTGGATTGTAAATTATCTTAACCCCACCCTTGATCCATACATAACAGAAGCGCTGCAGAAGCATAAAGCCATGACCCAGCTGTTTTCTCTTTGCCTACTTAAGGCTTGTTATAGATGTGCAGCTTTAAAACTGGAATTTTTTTAAAAATCACTCTGATCGTGTAAGTGATCCAGAGTTTTTCAGAGTAGACGTGCCATGGGATAAACTCTATAAAGCGTCTCTTGGCTTGAATGAATCTGCAGGGATGGGAGGCACACTTGCCTAGGGATTTTCTACACAAGGCATTTATTGTGTGCATGTGATCCTTCACTCATGCAAGTTTGCAGAGCTTTTTCATGATGTCAGCATCCTCCAGGGACTCTCTCAGTGTTTTCCAGGCATTTTCTTAACTCTCTTTAAAGTAAGGATAATGCGGTGTTTTCCTGGCTGACAGCATGATTCACAATGAAATCTTGTGTAAAGTCTACTGCAACCTTATGTTGTGTAATGGACTAGAATGGGAATGTATAGAAAGTCAGATCAGAAAAAAGCAGGTAAAATGACATTCTTTCTCCTGCAGAGAAACAGGAGAAGTGGTATTGAATTAAATGTCTCATATAGAAAAGCCCCTGGTAAGTCTGTTTTATTTTTCACATGGGACTATCATTCTCTCTTGACTCAAACATGGTAACAGCAACATGGGATACATCAGGGATCTGTTCTAATAGTAATAGTTTAGAGAAACTGTCCAAAATGGGATGAGGGGACTCAATTGAGTCACTGTAATAACACAGTTAAACATTATGTTACCTAGCAGTTGAGGGCATGATTGGGAACTTCCAAGTCCCTGTTTCAAAACTCGTTGTTGTTGTGATCTCATTGAGTGACCTTAGGCCCAGAGGTGCACAACATACAGTGCCCTCCCCACAGGCCTTAATGGAGGTCCATCATGGAATAGTAGAGTTGGAAGGGGCCATGAAGGCCATTGAGTCCCACCCCCTGCTGTTGCAGGACACCACGTTACACCATCCCACTCAGACAGTTGTCCAGTTTCACCTTGGATGTCTCTAGTGTGGGAGAGTCCACCACCTCTCTAGGCAGCTGATTCACTGTTGTATTGCTCTGGCAGTGAGGAAACTTTTCCTGATATCTAGCCTGAACCTGGGCTGTCACAGCTTGAATTGATGATTCCATGTCCTACACTCTGGGATCAGCAAAAAGAGATCTTGACCTTCCTCTTTGTGACAGCCTTTGTGGGAGCCCTTGATGCGGTATCATTTCCTCCTCAGCAACCTGGATCTAGATCCTTCTTTCTTCATTGTAAAGTATAATTTGTAAGAGGATCCCTGCAAGGGAAGGAGAGAAGGCCACCCATTCCCTTCTCCAGTAGTCCTCATACAGATCACTCTTTCTCTACTGCTGCTAGCAGGGTGTGGGCTGTATCAGATCATTGGGGTGCGTGTGAGTTTGTGCGTGTGTGTGTGTGTGCATGCAGTCACTGACCTGCCCCCCAACCCAGCATCGTGTGGCCCTTGGGGCTGAGAAGGTTGTGCGCCACTGCGTTAGGCAAACCACCATGCAGGTGGCCCCAACTTCAGTCCCCGGCATCTCCAGGTAGGCTAAGAATCACTGGTGGAGAAGCACTGGCAAACTGTATGGACCAAAGGCTGGAGTTGTTATGCAGCAGCTTCTTATCTTTAAATGGTCATTGTAGCATTAATGGGATGTTGTTCCTGAAGTGATTCCATTAGGAGAAAAGGGTGGCATATAAATGCAAAAATAAATAAGTGCTATATACATGCTTATGAGGATTATTATTTTAATAGAGAGCAGATTAACACTTTCTTTATGCACCCTTCATGGGAAGCAAACTCACTTTTCCAGTAGAAAGAGCTGGTTGTCCATTTTATTCACAAAAAAACAAGGAATGGCTATTGTTGTAGCAGTTGTTCCTATAGTAGTTGCTTGACTGATCCCCCAGTACCACTGTGAGGTGGGTTACCAGTTATCTCCGTTTCAGTGATTGAGAACTCCGTCTAAGAGAAGCTGACTTGCTTGAGGCAACCCAATGAGGCCATGGGTGACCTCAGAGATTAATTCTAGTGGGTCTGTCCAGCCACTAAATCTTTTGTCCTCTTAAATTCCCTTTTAGCAGACTGTGCAAGTGTATGGAATTAGTAGTCTGCCTAAATTTTCAAGTAATGATTCCATGAGCAGAATTCTAGCTTACTGCCAAGTCATCAAAATACTACTTGAAAAACCAGTCCCAGCATCATGGTCTGTCTCCATCAGCAGCCCTTGATTATTTATTTATATACAAGAATAAACAAAAGCAATATAAAATAGTACAAACATTCTAAAAATGATGAAAGAGAGCAGTGCAATCACACATGATGTGATCTGAAGCTGAAAGCACAGCAAGGGGCTGTTACGACAGTCTAGTTTTCTGTTTTTTCTCCTTTCCAAGGTTTTATTCCAATGTTTCCTCTTTAGTTCCTCTTTAGGCAGGTACTAATATTATGCATCCTTTATGCAATTAAAAAGTCTGTCATTCAGTGCAGAAGTAGCCCTTCTTGTTTTCATCTTCAGCAGCATCATTTGTGCTTCTGCTTTTTATCCATGGAACTGTTGTTTGTAAGGCAAAGGCAATGCCATGGTAGTTGAGGTTGCTGAAGAAATCCTAAATGGATTCAAATGACTGGAGATTTTTATGACTGACTCCACTGCAGGTTTTTGGTGTGCTCTAAGCTGCGTTGATCCATTCATCACAGGGTTTCCTCCATTTATGCTCAAATTCAGATTCCTAATGCCTAATCATCCTTGATCCTCATTAAACCATGGGAAGTCTGAATTCTGAAAATTGGTGCCTAGGAATTACTTGGTGCATTCACACAACATGACAACCCTCCTTGGCAATATGCCACAGAACGTTCAATGATCCATGAACAACCCAACCAATGTACTTTCCTGATACTGGCTGATCATTCCCATGCCACTGTGTTTTGTCTTTCCCCCAATAAGCCCAGTCTAAGGGCAGAGTTTCATCTTCCTTCTCTTACCAGGAAGACAGCCAGGTCCCACCCACTCTCACAGGGATGCTTCCATTTAAATATTCAGTAAATTTTTCTTAACTATCCCTGAGTGGCATGTTCAAGAAAAGGGCAAGGATCTAGTCTGATTTCCCAAAGGGGCTACTTACTTTTCTATGTTTCTTGAGTCCCTGAAATACTTCCAGATCAGGTCCTGCAAAATATATATGTAATTTGTTTCCTATACACTGCATGGGATGCTTGGTCTGTCTTGTGTCCATATTAGTTTGTGTTTCCATATTAGTTTCCTTTTTCACTGTGTGCTCAGAGGTATACAGATTTATCCCATTGATTAAAGCATGTTCATGCATAGTTCTTTAAAAGACCATTTTTTTTCTAATTAATGCATTTTTCAACTGCAACTTTGGAAATGTTTTGACCACAGATTGTACTTACATTCACGTTTAGGAAGAGTGAACGGAATGAATTCTGGTCAATTAAAGAAATGAAATGCATTTCTGTCTCTGAGGGCAGTAGACCACCAGACGCAGAGGTGTGCCAAGTGCTTTGTCCCCAGGTCTTGGCAGCACTGGGTTCTGATGTCAGAGATGGATGGGACCAAATGGTTACAGGCAAAATGTCAAAGCCATTGTTAGGATTACATGGTCAGAGGAGGTTACAGCAGAGCAGAGTAGATGGACAGACACAGAAGGCAGGCAGGGGGACGGGAGGGCAGGTGCTGTTGGATCTGAATGGCTTTTCTTATCAACAAATTCCAGGGGCTGAAGAAAAGCAGTACATCCTGGAGGAGAAAGTGGGGAAGTACTGGTTTGTAAAATTTGATCACTCTGTATTCTGCAGATTTTCTGGCCTATTCCAGCAGACCTCTTCTGACTCTCTGTGTTTCTATGTTTTGTTTTGTTTTTCCAACTAAATTTTGTAAAATTATGGAAAGGATAAACTGGACTTTAAATCCATGGAATTCATGTGGTTTGGGAAAAGTCTGTCCACCACAGAATCCATGGATTGGATTCATAAA